GGTGACAGCCACGCTGTGTCCCCGAGCTGTCCCTCGTGGGTGCAGGGCTGTCACCGCGGGTCTCCTGTGGGCACAGACCCAGCCTGGGGGACATGGGCTCCTTCTGCCCCCGTGCCTTGGCCCTGTTGTCCCCAGTGATGTAGGACTGGCTCCGTTTTCCACCCAGGGCTTTTCCCCATGGCCCGGCTTTGCCACCGGCGGCCGGAGGGGCGTTGCGGGTGGTTTTTCTCCTCCTTTGTTTTCCTGCCCGCGCTGTGGCCGAGGCAGGGTGGCTGGGGTCGGCTCTCGGTATTGCTCACGGGCGAGGGGACACCGGGACGCAGGGCAGTGTCCATCCCTGGGCCGGCTCCACCTGCCTGGCCCCAGGTGCAAGGGGGATATCTCCAACCTCATCCTTTTTGTGGAGCCGGGGAGCGGTTCCCAGCGGGATCTGCGTGCCTCCCCTGCCATGCAGCCCTTTCCCGCAGGTACCCATCCAGCTGCCAGTTTATCTCACACACTCCCCCAGCTACCTGCCTGGCTGTATATCCCACACACTCCCAAGGTTTCGGAGCGATGAATTTACCCACTGCTGGGCTCAGGATAAAATTAATTCCCACTGGGGAAAAGCAAGCTGAAGATGCTGTGGAAAGCATCTTCTCCTTCCCCCTCTCCTTCCTTGAGCCCCTCGGTGAAGGTTTCCCAGTGGGGAGCTTCCCCTATTCCCAAATTTCCTTCCCGGTTTTTGGCTTCATGCCCCGATAGGAGAAAGAGGAAGAGGAGCCCTGAATCTGAATTTTTCTGCCGTGTCTCTCCCATCTCTGGCCCAAGGCCACTCTGGGATATGGAGGGGGCTGGGGTTGGGGGTTGGGAGGGCTGAGCAGGGCAGCTCCTTGCTTCGGGGCGTCACGGGGCTGGAAATGTGGGTGCAGGCAAGGGAGGACCGAGGAACACTCCGATTGCTCTAACAGGGCTGAGCAGCCGGGGGTGCACAGCCCCAGCCAGCTCCTGCTCCGCTGGCAGCATCTCCCGCTGCCTGCTGCTCCGTGCCTCTGCGGAAATAAAGGCTGCTGGCTCCTCTCTGCACGGTAATAATGGGGAAAAAAAGGGGAAAAAAAGAAAAAAAAGCTTCGTAATTAGGCAGTCAGCTCTCGTCCTCCCTGGGCGGGCTCGTCAGGAGATAAATGAGTGCGTAGGGCAGCCGGTGGCAGCGGGAAAGCCGGGGATGTCTCTTGGGGATGCCGCGGGGTGGGAGATGCCTTCCCTTCCCACCCCTGCCACCCCGGGGAGGGCTCTGGGGCTTTTTCTCTCCTCAAACAGCAGAGAAACGTCCTCGAAGCCTCTTGCAGGTGGTCTGCGTTCCTACCCCAGCTCTGTCCCACCTGGCACGGCCATGGAAAGCTCTGAACCGCCTGGCATCCCGCTGGAATGGCACAGTGGGAGCAGTGAGCCCTCCCTGGGCTCAAAATGGTGCAGACTGTGGTCCGTCTGTCCTGACTTCATGTCCATGCTCAGCTGAGGGGTCCCTCCTTCACCAGGCCAGCGTTCGGCCCCGTCCTCCTCAGGCACATGTGTCAGACACCGCGGGCACTGTGGGCGAGGGTCGGCTGCTTCCCACTTAGGCAACGACGTGCAGGCAGCACCTGTCCTTGAAAGAGCCTCTCTGGCAGGGTCCCTGGCATGGAAACCCCCCAGGGAAGTGGCTGCTGACAAAAGCTTCGTCTCGGAACCCAAAGCCAGCTTGGAGAGCGAGGCAGGGTGCTCCACCCTCACCCTGATCGGTTCTCTTTGTGTAGGACCCTGCCGGAGAAGCGTCTGTGGCAGCCCCCAGTAAAGCCCAGGCGATGTCTCCGCAGCCTGGCTGTCACTGGTAATTCAGGCAGTGGGCCTCTACCCGGAGCATCCCATGCTGGGGAGAGGGCCGGTGCTTTGGGCAGGGGAGCTGGAGCATGGCAGGATGGGGAGACCAAGGAACAGGTGCTCAGCCGCGCGCCCGTTGCACGGGTTGTGTCTGTCTGGTTGATCCAGGAGATTTGGGAGCGTCTCCTCCCCTCGGGGAGCATCAGGCAGTCTCAGCGTGGCAGTGCCGCTTGGGAACGGTTGTCCTCTTCCAAGGGGTTATTTTTGGAGCCAAGTGAGGACACGTTGACTGTGGTGGTGGCGGAAGGAGGCAGGGACACGTGAAGGTGAAAGAGCAGGGGGAAGGCAGGCAGGCAGCAGCTGGTGGGGACCGTCATGCCCACTTGCAGCTGGCACCGAGCCATTGCTGGAGGGTACCAGGCTGTTGCTGGAGGGGACCAGGCCATTGCCAGAGGGCACCGGTGGATGTTTGCTGGCCAGCTCAGGCATCAGGATGCCCCATGGCTGCCTCCTCGCCAGCCAGTGTGACTGGGGGGCGGGTGGGGGGGTCCGAGGTCTTGGGTCCATCCCCGTGTTGACTGGGGACAGCACCCAGGGGTGCCCCAGAGGCCGTGAGGGTGGATGCCCATCCCTGCTCTGCACCCGCGCCACCTGACAGCGGGGGCCGTGGGGCTCAGAGGGACCCCTGCCCGCCGTCCCATGTCTCCGGGCACCACACACCCGTGCTTTACCTGGCTTTCCCCAGTACAAGGCTGGCACAGAACATCCCCCTCTCTTTTCCATGAACCAGCCCTTGCACTGTGGTGATGGGAATAGCCCCATACTTTGCAGATGGGGAAACTGAGGCAAGGAGCAGGAAGGGTGCTGGGTGCTGTCCCCGCCGACCTGCTGTGCCCACATCTCTTTTGAGACGAATTTGCCTTCAGGTTCTGGCAAAGTCCCCTCGCTGTCATGGAGAGAGAGGGGAACCAGGGCAGGGAGTGACCCCCGACTCTTTCTCTCCCTCCCAGGCACTGCCAGCGGTGAGGCCGCCCGCGCCAGCATGGCTCTGTACAACAACGGGGCCGATGTGCCTTCGCCCCAGGAAGCCTCCAACGGCTTCTCGCAGCCTGGCGCCTCGGGTACGTGGCACAAGGGCGAGGAGGAGGTGCGGATGGTGGAGCCCAGCCTGGTGAAGAAGGCTCACCGGGAAATCCTGGACCATGAGCGCAAGCGGCGGGTGGAGCTGAAGTGCATGGAGCTGCAGGAGATGATGGAGGAGCAGGGGTGAGTGGTGGGGGATCAGGGATGGACCCCATGGCTCGGGATCCTTTTGACTCACTTGCACCTTGTTCTCCCCCTTTTGCCTCTCTAAAAAAATACCTTGATGTGGCAAATGTCCCCGGTTGGAAGTAAATCCACTTTGGGGTGAGTCAGACAGCTTTGGGGTGGACTGGTGGGTTGGTTTGTGAAACTAAATGCCTCCAAGAAACACAGACCCAGGAGTGCATCCGTGCACGTGTTGGAGGCTCGCTCTGGCCCCTCTGCTTGGAAATCTGGGCTCCCAGCTCGTCATGCCGGGAAAGCTGAGGCAGGAGGGAGAAGTCAGTTGCAAACGGTTGTGCAAGTTGTTGGTGCCACCCAGCCTGTGCCCTGCTCACCTGGGGTGGGAGGTGGTCTGTCTCTGTCTCTCCTGTTGGGAGGGTGATGGAGAGCTGGGGTTTAGACCCAGGTGAGGTTGTTTTGGTGCTTCAGTTTGTCCTGCCTTCCTTCTCTCCCTCTGGTTTTGGGGTGTGAGGATCCCTCCCATCCTGCCGTGCCCCTGGCTGGGCACCATGAGCTGCTCCTCAGCCTTTGCTTTCCCCTGGGGAAGCAAAGGGCCAAGGGAAAACCCAAGGGGCTGGAGACCATCCGTGCCTGAGTGGGCAGGAGGGGCTGGGGGGGGGAGGGGGGGGGACCCCT